TCCGCCCGACCCTTGTGTCCTGGGAGAGGAGAGCGTAAGGGGGCGGCAACCCTAGGGACGTGGGGCCAGGCTGGGCGGAAGCGGACGCCCCTACCGTCGTAGGGGAGGTGGCAGTAGCAGATGAATGCGCTCTGTGGGCACCAGGCGGGTGGCAGCTAGACCTGTGGGTGCAGATTAGAGGGCCCTGGGTGGTACCTCCAGACCCAGGGCTTAGCTGGCAGCAGAGATCAGACCTCAGGTGGCTGGAAGCCCACCAGGGGCAGATCTCAAAACCAGGAGTGGTGGTTGGCACGAGTGGGGAGGTGGGTTTGAGGTGCCCTCAGAGCGTCGGGGGGTGGTAGGTGACCGGGGGTCTGGACTCCTCCCTCCCTCCCTCCTTCAGTAGCATGTCCTGTGGACCCCTTCTTGAGAAGGAAACTGAGGCACAGAGGCTGGAATCGGCCTGCCGAAGGTTCCCAGGTATAAGATGGGCTGACTCCAGCCCAGAGAGCTTCCACCTGTACCTCTGATCAGAAACCAGGGGTCCCCACGAGGGAGACCTCGCCCAGCATCCCAAACTCGTCCAGTGCTGTTCCTCAGACCTGGCCGCGGCCCCATCTGGACACACTTCCGGGTCCCCCCGGCCCTGCAGACCCCAGCACTGCCCTACAAAGTGCATGCCCTGTGCTCGGCTGACTCCCCATCCTGCCTCCAGGGCTCTGTACTTGGCTGGCGAGTGGGGAACTAGAAACCCTCTGACGGGAAGGGCCAATCTGGCCGTGAACCTCACCAGAGCGGGGTGGGGGTTCCGGTGCCTAAACAATGCTCCGGGGTCACCAGTCCTGACCCTGGGCCCTGACATGCAGGGCAGCAGCATCAGCCCTGCCCACATGCCGCTGGCCACCCACGGGCACCCTGAGACTGCACTGCAGCCAGCATGACTGCAAGGGTGGGGGTGGCATTTAAGGCGGAGCTTTGTGGGCAGGGTGGAGCAGACCACCAATGTCGTGACCCCTCTCACCAAGGCCCCTGAGCTGGCGGGCGGAGGCACCACATTCTTCAGAAGAGCCTGGTCCCCGCTGCGTGCGGGTGAGTGCGAGTGTCCTGTGCTGATGCACAGACGGCTGAGGGCCCAGGTGGTGCAGAGCAGGGTCCCTGGCCTGTGGCCACCCTGAGTGCCATATTCACAGGACACGTGAGACTGTAAGCCGGGAGGTCTCTCTCCTGTGCTGCAGAGTGGCTGTGGGAATGGCTGTGGACCAGGAGAAAAATCCCCCTCTGCACCTGCACACATGATTTCTCAAACAACTTTAAGGGGTTCTGGGTTCCAGAAAGGCCCCCCTAGACTCGCCTCTGCCAGAGGAAGTGTGCTCAGGATCCATCGTGTGATCACAGACCCGCGTCCAGGCCCGGGCTCTGTGGGAGCCACCCGGAACCTGCACCCCCCGGGTCAGCACGGGGGACAGGGCTGGCCTGCCGGCGTACACTCTAGGGACCACACAAGTGCGGAGGAGCCTCCGGGAGGTGGCTCTGGAATGATCTGGAAGGTTCTGGAGGGTGTGATCACCATGTAACACCATGACTTACTTCTTTCTGCTTCTGACTGAAGTGTGTGCATCAAACGAAACTGCTTTTGGGAGTCCAGAAAAGAGATTGTGGGCAAGCCTGGCCGCCCAACGGGAAACCCCTGGCTGGCTCTAGTGACAGTGCCTCCTCACCCAGGGTCACCTGGAGAGGGGCCTGTGGGGGCCGGGTTGGTTCACTAGAATCTCAGTGTCTTCCTGCTCACAAGGCCACTCTGACAGCCGACCTGGCCCACCTCTTGGCTTCCACCATCCTCAGCTCACAGTGAAGGTGGAAAGATCTGGAAAGAATACCTTGGCGTGTGAGTGGTCCAACCCTCTCCCATTGGAGGACAAGGAGCATTGTGACCTGGAGCCAGAGCAAGGAGAAGCATGTCTTCTAGGCCTGGGAACTAAAGACCTCTACATCCAGGCAGGGGCTCCGGTTGGTTACGACACTCTGCCCTGGCTCGTCCCACACTGCCGAGTGGGGCACCCAGGTGCCTTGGGCCACAAGGCGGACACGCTGGCCTGCCGTCCGCCGTCTCCTGTCATTCTGGAAAAGAGGCCCGGTCTGGAATTAGCTCAAAGTGAAGGGAGACAAATACCTTTACCTTCTCTTTGCAGCCACCTCCTCACATCTTAAATCGACATTATTTACAAACCAGAGGCCACCGGTTGCTTTTCTCCTGGGGGCTCAGCACCCTGAAGGGAGGGACAGGATCCCACTGCGGACTGCCCATCAGGGAGTGTTAGGCGGGGAGTCAGCACTCCACGCTCACCAGTCCTCTGGCTCCCGACAGATGTGACAGCCACCTGTGGTCTGGGGCTTTGTCATAACCAGGGCCCGCGTGTCACTCTGTGACCACTTCCCAGGCACTCCCACCCACACCAGGGCTTCAGCCTGGGTGACCTCTGCCCCACCGCACGACTGCCCTCTGTGCGTCTCCTCACCCTGACAGGAACAGGTGTCGCTGGGGGGGTGCGAGAGGCCGCCTGCCTGGCACACCCAGGCGGCAGAGAATGCCTCAGGAACCACCCACAGAGCCAGCCTGCCCCCAGGTGAGGCAAGCAGACCACAGATGTGGGTGCACGGGATGAATGGGCTCCTTCTGAAAAGATTCAAGGCCCCCCTCCAACCCCCACCGGGCAGCAGAGCCCCACGTGAGCAGCCTGCCTGTTACAGAGCCAGGACCCCAAGCCAAGCCGAAGCTCCCTCCCCAGGAGGCCAGATGCCCAGGGAGGCCAAAGCGTGGTGACAGTTCCGGTTGAATGTGACCGAAGCCTCTGACCCAAGTCTCGGCCGGGAGAGCTAGAGCTCCACCTGACGCGGGAGGTGCTAACGCCAAGCAGCGGCTGCGAAGCCGCAAACCCGCACGCAGCTCGCAAACGGAAGGAGGGGCCTGTCGCCTCACGTAACCGGGGCGCACAGGGGGAGACGGGCTCCAGGACCGGCTGGGCACGGGAGCTGACGGTCGTCGGAGGGCACGCTCTCCCCTCTCGGCTACGCTGCTCTCCGTCGCTCAGCCCTGCCGCCCGCCAGAACGTCCAAACCCTCCGCCACCGCAGACGTCCCCCTGTGCCCACGAAGCCAGCCCAGGGCCGCACCCCTCCCACGCCCCGCTCAAGAACTTGGGCAGGAAGGGTTCTCTCTGCCCCTGAGACCGATCCGCGCACACCTGGCCGTGGGGAAGGGGCAGGACGCAGAGACTTAGCCACCTGGAACCCCACCTTGACGGGGAGATGGGGGTCCCCGTGTGGCATCAGGAAGAGGCCTGAGATGGAAGTGTCCCCACCCCCAGGAAGGTGACTCGTTGGGGCTCTCAGGGACAGAGGTGGCGTCCTCACAACACACACGGCGATAAGACGCACTCAGGGCTCCCACACACAGTCAAAGTGGACCTTTATTAGGGAATCAGCCTGCGCACACGCCGAGCAGGGCTGTGCTGTGGGCTCCACGCATTTCCTGAGGAGGAGGGTCACAGTATCAGCTGTCGGAGGGACGGGGCGCCGGCGCTGCCCGAGGCCAGCACTCCGTCAGCGGCGTGACTCGGCCATCGAGATCCGGCGCACAGACGCGACACGGGGAGCACACGGAGCACACACACCTGCGCTACACGTCAACAAACCATAAACACAGAGGCCCGTCTGCCGCCGACCGGACCTGGAGCGAAAGGGACCAGAAGGGTGACAGGAAACCAAAAGCCTCTTTTTCCGTTGGGCCGAGGGAAGAATTTTCCCAAATTATCAAAATTCCTCAGGTACAAAATACTTCTTCAAAAATTCCATCATTAAAAGAATAAATAACAAAATATATTAAAAATAACTTGGTTGCATCAAAATTATAACTGGAAGATACAGTGAGATTTTGCGTGTGGCCTATCTCAGAGTCAAATAGTTAATTTCGCTTCGATAGCAGGTATTTCATGGTATCCTGGTTTGGGGTCTAGTTGAAATAGTATAAACTCAATAAATAAAAATGTTAAATAAATAGCAAACATTAACATAAGAGATTGTGAATATAAATACTTACATCTTGACAAAATTAAATAATTTACAGAATAATTAAACTAACTACTTTTTAATTTCTTCCAGGAAGAGCGATTTCTCTACTTTTAAATACTAACTTGGAATTGCGGTCACAATCGACTTCGACTCTATTTACATGTAGGAACGTTGTGTTTTTAACACGTTAAGTTAAAATTTACCTTTTCTGCATCTCGAATAGAGCTAAAAGTAAGTGAAACCTTGGCGGTCTGTGATTAGGAGTTTGTCCCCTGAACTCGATGACGCTGTCCCCATCTCAGGCAGGCTCAGCCGCGACCCAGGTAAGTCGGCAGTGACGGGTCACGGGCCTGGGTGGACGCGCAGAGGGGAAGGCCCTGGACCTGGCCAGATCCGGATCGAAGGCCACAGCTCAGGAGGGGCCCGGCCCCTGAGCCGCAGGCAGCCACGGCCAGAGTCGTCCCAGGCGAGGGCCCGTGAGCGGACGGGCTGCAGGCCTGCCCCCCACGTACCCTCTGGAACAGGGCTCTGTCCCATACAAAACCAAGTTAAATGAAAACAGAAATACCCGTGCCACGCCGGCCTCACGGGGCAGACACGTGCCCGGGCACGACACCACGCACAGCCCGCCCGGCCTCGGCCTCGACAGACAGACAGGAATACTGTGGTCACGAACTCCAAAACTTCCCTGAGAACCTTGTCCATGAGCTTCCGCTGGGACTTCGAGCTGCTCTTCAGATCATTGTCAGGAAACAAAAATAAATCCATCTGCCGCCTTCAGGCGCACGCGCCCGGGGAGGTCGGGGGGCTTCCCGTCGGACAAGCCCCCGAGGCCACTGGGGCCGCACACAGAGGCGCTGTGAGTTGGGACTCTCCACCGGGAGGGCAGGGCGAGGGAGGTAAACAATGGCGCCAAGTCGGGGTGCCGGGCGCCCCGGATCGGCAAGGTAAGGCCTAGACCTGGATGCCCCTCACGGCCTGCTTGATGCTCTCCAGGAGGTCCTTGTTCTCAGGGTCCTGGTAGCATTCCTGGTTGGAGTACATGTCGGTGAGGGTGCTCACGTAGGCATCAAAGTTCTGCTCACATATCGGCTCCTGGCGGGCAGAACAGTTCAGCCAGCCCCGTCCCGCACGGCCGCCCGGAGGGGAGGGGAGGGGAGGGCACGTGTGCCGCCCGCCTCCCACTGCCCTGAGTCCAGCGCACACCCACGGCAGCTGCACCTCGGGCCGAGTCCACCCGCCCTTGGCCCCTCGGGGGGCAGCCCTGGTGGAGGGCCACGCACCATGTGTGGCAGGCGGATGTTGGCGAGGCTCCGGATGAGGGCCTGGCTCAGGCCAGACAGCTCCAGGAACAGCGCTTCGTTCTGCTCCTCGATCAGCCTGTTCTCGTCCTCGATGCTCCGCAGGCTCCTCTCCATGGACGAGACCTGTGGGGTGACACGGAAGCCTGCACCCGGCCGCCTGGCCTCCTGGCTGTGTGGCGGGCACGCCTGAGAGCCAGTGCAGAGGTGGGCCCCTGCCCCCTGGGGTTCCTGCCACAAGTGGGGCTGGCAGTGCCCCAGACCCTGGGCGGGGGAGCGGACTCGGCGACGTCCCTTTCTGTGCTGACCTTCCCACGGGGTGGGGGTGGGGGAGGGCTCAGAGTCCAGTGCCCTGAGCTCACTGCGGCCCCTCTGCAGCTGCCCGTCCCGCTGCAGCCCTGCTCAGTGCAGCAGCCGATGGCCTGTCAGTTTCCGGCACAGACGCTTCTGCTGCAGACCCAGCAGGACACCAGGGTGGCAGTCCCAGAGCTTCTCCCAAGGGGGCTCTCAGGGTTCCTCCACGGACCCCACAGGACAGTGACAACGGGGCTGACGGCCAGGGGCTGTCGCGCCTGCTCTGGGTGGTCAGGTCACCAGGGGGGTCTCAGGCGGCATAACCCTACACAGAGGTTCCCGCCCTGCGGCCCCCAGCTGCTGCGGCTCAACGGAGCCTGGGGCAGAGGCAAGTTCAGTGTCCAGCACGCAGAGCTGTCCCCCAGTGTGGACCAGGGAGCTGCCTTCCAGGCGGCTGTCCACCAACCCGCAGCTCGGGAGAGGCTGCGACCTCCTGTCACTGGGTGACAGGCCCTCGGCTCGGGGAAGTTTGAGTAAGAAGGAGACCCACCGCCTTCCCCACGGTCCCTTCTGCCTGACCCCCCCTCCCCACAGGGCACGGGTCCAAACTCCCTCAAGGGGAGAGCGGCCCTTCCACAGAGTGCTGGCGAGTGGTCCGGTGAGCGGCCGTCTTTGAAGAGCTGGGTGAGACCAACGCAGTAGGCAGAGGCGCTGACACTGGACGGCTTTGAGAAGGGAGGGCAGGGAGGGACGGAGGGTGGCGGCCACATGGGCAATGTCTCTGCACCCTGAGACGGCCAAGAAGACACGGCCCACACAGCGAAGACCTCTGCCCCCCACGGCCGACACTGTTTCCGCCAGGCTGAGCGCCAGGCACAGGCGGAGCGGCCGGTTCGCAGGCGGAGGGGCCGGTTCGCAGGTGGAGGGAGGGACCGCGTGAGGAGACCCGCCACCTTCCCCACGGTCCCTTCTGCCCTCGAACCCCGCAAGGCCTGGTCGCTTCCTCGTCCCTTTGTCCCTCCAGCCGTAGGAGCATGACGGTGTGCGGCCCGCCTCCCCTACCCGTCGCTCAGGGTGGGCCGTGGTCTTTTTGGAATCAGACCTGCACCGTCTCTTTGCAAGCGGTGTTCCCTGGGGAAGTCAGAGGCACCTCGTGACCCGCCTCTCAGCGTGCCACCTGCTCTCCCTGTGGACACGCACCCATCTCCCCGCAGCCCTGGGGGTGGATCTCTACTGCTGTCTCCGGCCACCGGTGAGGGCACGGAGGGGCACATAGGTCCAGAGGCGTGCCGGGTCACTTAGCCACGTGACAGGGCTGCGGTGGCCGCGCTCCAGCCGGGCTGGAGAACCCACGCGTGGTCCCACTCCTACCGACGGCACTCATACCTGGGGGACCCCTGACCCTGCCCTCCAGCCGCCAGCACCAGAGGACACACGGTGGCAGGACCGGCGACCGGACGGCGGCAGTCACAGATGTCCCTGAGGCCGCACCCCTCAGCCCAGGGTGAGCGCCAACGGCACATGGGGCTGGGCCCCTCCCGCCTCCCAGAACAAGAGGCCGAGGGCCCAGGACAGTGAGCTGGGTGGGGCGGGGGGGGGCGGGGTGGGGTACGGGGGCCCCCCCCCCCGCACACCTGGGACTGCAGCTGTGCCATGGCGGCCTCCATCTCCGAGTTGGACTCGCTCAGGTCTCGGATCTCCTGGTTCAGCTGCTTGATCTCCTCATCGTTGTCCAGCACTGCCCCAGGGAGAAAGCCCGGTGGCGGCTCAGCCTCAAGCCCAGGCTGGCCTCCTGGAGGGACCCGGTCCTCCCAGAGCGGCTCCGAGACTGACCCCGCATGTCTAGGCCACGGGCGGGAGAGTGGACATGTCTTCAGCCAGAATGAATTGTGAGAGAGAGACGTGGAGGCCTCTGCGGGGGATGCTGGATGTGCACAGCTCCCTCCACACTGGGGCCGAGCGAGTTCTCAGCCCCGCAGCCCCGAGGCCTCGGCCTCCAGCATCGTCTGCAGGGCTCTCAGAGCAGCCGCCGCCACTCCAGACGCAGGCGCACGACAGGTCAGGCCTCAGGACAGGGGCCCCCATGTCCTCTCCCACCAGCAACGCTCACTCGCCAGGTTGAAGGGCTCCCCACAGAGCCCGCAAGGGGGGCGTCCTTACCGTCACTCGTCTTGAACTTCGTGCTGAGAACCTCATCCCCTGAGAGTTTTCCCTTCTTTCCAGCAAAAGTGGCTCTGGGACAGCCGGACAAGCTGGAAGCAAAGGTCGCACATTAGAAACCAGTCCGAAGTCACACACCGGAGGCCAGTCTGGCCACACGTCACAACGAGAGCCAAACCGTCAGCGTCCGGCAACTGGGTAGGGTCCTGGATGGAACTCGCTAGCTCGTCCCTTTTTGTCCCTGGTCCGGGGCAGTCCCTCTCCCTCACCACTCATCCGCCAGCCCAGCCGGTCCCAGCACAGGCCGCTGCCCTGAAGGCTCGTCCCCAGAGCTCTGGGCAAGCTCCGCACCCCTTCTCAGAGGGGTCAGCCTCACCCCTGCTCTATTCCCCGCGGGGCCTGCGGCCTGGCCCCACCCACACTGCCCTGGCCAGGTCCGGGGCGGGGGCCGGCGTGTGTGTTCTCTGCTCCGTCTCCAGCGCCTGGTGCTTGCTGGACTCAGAACTGGCTTGTGGCGTGAATGACTCAATTAATCTTACAGGTGAAGAGACAAGGGCAGAAAAACAGAAAGAAAAAGACAGTTTCTGACAGGCCCAGGTAGTGACCCCCCGGCCCCTCGGCCGTGACCTTGGCTGCCGGGCACAGACAGGAAGAGAGGCAGCGAGGCAGGCCCCAGCCCTGGGGCAGGTGAGGGCCCGTCAGTGCTGCCCCGGCCACTGCGCAGGCAGGAGGGGTCTCGTCGTCAGACCCCTTGCGAAACAGGCTGAGCCCTGGCCCCCAATTTCAAAGAAGAGGCCCCAGCGGGAGGGGCAGGGCGTGAGCTGTGACAGACGAAGCTTTGACAAGGACAGGTGTGCCAGGCACAGGGCTCCGCTCGCTGCACGGGCTGTGGCAGGGAGGCTTACGACGTGGAGACTCAGGGTGGCACGTGTCGCACACGGCACCCCCTGGCACCACAGACTTCCTATAGTCTCCCCAGCCGGCCACCGACTGGGGACTTGATTTTCCCTAGAGAAGTGGCAAGCGTCCAGAGCCCTCGTCCAGCCGCCCCAGGGCCAGTCACCTCCGGTGGGTGAGGAAGCTCCCGTTGGCGTGGCCGGACCCGTCGCAGCCCGGGGTGGGGCAGGTGGGCCCCTCGTTCTTCAGCGACTTCCAGGAGAATGAGGGGCCGTTGACGGAGCCCTCCTTCTGCCTCCGCGCGGCCAGCGGGCAGCCGGACGCGCTTCGGTGAGAGGCGTACTTGCCGCTGATGTGGCCGAGCCCCACGCAGCCTGGGACTGGGCACCTGGCACGAAGAGGGCAGAGGTGAGCACAGGGGTGCTGGGGTGGGAGGGAAAGCCAGAGCCCCCCAAGTCAGGCTGAGACCCGCCGGGGGCCCCGCTCAAATGCCGCCGTTGGCGTGAGTCCTGAGCCTCGGGCACACAGAGGCGACGGGGACCACGTCCCCCCTCTGCCCTTGCGGCTCGAGGGTCAGCGGCCAGCTTCTCTCTCCGGACCCCAGCAAGGTCCACACCTAGACCTTGCTGCCAGTGTCACTTCAGTGGAATGAAGGTGTCAGCTGAGCTTGCAGCAAGCACGGGGCCAGGGGACCTGGGAGTCACAGGTCGGAAGTGCACCCTGAGCCAGGAAGTTTGGGGACAGCAAGGGTCCTGCCCCCCAACAGCATCCAGAGAGGCTGGTCACGGCACGACGCCCATGAGCGTCCCAGCTTTGCCACGTCGGAAGCGTGTGTTCCAGAAGGACAGCCACGAGGCCACAGAGCTCCCGTGGGGAGACGCAGCCCAGATCCTCCGTGACCCTGTCCCAGGCCGGCCTGGGGAGACCTTCCCCTTTGCTCGGCTTGTTTGAGGACAGGGAAGGGGTCCCTCATGGGAATAGCAAATGCCCAAGGATAGCTTGAGAGAGGTTCCAAGTGCCCACCCCTCGTGCTGCCATTGAAGTCCAGGTGGTGACGGAAGACGGGGTGGTGCACGGCGGTCAGCGTCTCTCCTCGTCCCTCGGGCGGGACCTGGACCAAGGGCCCCAGCTCTGAGGCCAGGCTCACCTGGGACCAGCACGCGACGGACGGCAAGATTCCTACCGGCGAGTTCCGAGTCCTCTCCCCGAGCAGAGGGGACTCTTAACTTGGCGTTTGCCACCCATTTCCCCCAAGCTGCAGACGGGGGCACAGGACCCCGGTTTACAGAGCTGTTCCTGGGGTACAGAGAAGACACGGGCTGGACGTCCCGGGCTTGTCACCAGCACATCCGGGCTCATCCCTGGGGTGGCCGCTGCGGACAGGTCCCCCCCGTCGGCTCTCACTCCCTTCTTACTCACCCGCCCTCGTGGGCCTCAGGTGTGCGAGACGTCTCCCGAGCCACTCCGAGGTCATCTCGGCCTGGAGTCGAGTGCGGACACGGTGCGGGGACTGGGGAGGTTCCACTTTACACCCAAACTCGGACGCGTCCCAGCTGCGGGGCCCCCGGGTTCCCACGCGCGTACGGGGCCCCGGACACACGGTCAGGAGGCCGAGTGTGAGCAGCTTCGCGGGCGCATCTCAGCGCCGCAGCCTGAATCGCCTCCCCCACTTCCTTCCCAAAGCCCCAGGCCTGCCCGTCACCCGGGTCGCATTTGAAGTGAGAATTTCCCACGCGTCATAAAAACACAGCTTTTCTCTCTATCCACGCCCCGTGTCCAGATCCTCGGAACTGTCAGATGACCTCGCTCTGACACGTGTGCGGGGTGCCAAGTGGGGTGGCATCTGTGCTGGGGCACAAGCGTGATGTGCCACCAGGACCCCAAGGTCAGAGGGGCGTCTCCCAGAGTGGCCGAGGATAGCCAGGCCTCTCCACGGACGGAGGGCATCCAGCTCCTGACCCTGGCCGGGACCTCCACGGACTTGGCAGCCACTTATCAGTTGTGGCCGAAGAGATTTGCCACCAAGTGCTAACCTGCCTTAATCTCAGACAGAGCAGGCACAAGACGTCTCCCTCACCAGCCCGCCCAGCATCCCAGCCGTGCTGACGGCGAGCCACCCACGGTGGGGCCTGGCGCACCCGTCCCCGTTTCTGCTGGTGGGCGCTTGTGCTGGGACACTCCATAAACGGAGGCACTAAGTGGGTCCTCCGCCCCCCGCCGTGGGGCCACCAGGAACTCATCCGCCCTACAAATGCTAAACTGTTCCTAAAAGTCACATTCTCCACTTGGCTGCAAACTCTCGTTTTTCTAAAAGCAAAGTTGACAGCACATTAGGAGGAGGAAAAGCATTTTTCTCAGTTACCTTGAAAAATGCTGATCTTGATTTTAATCATTTGCAAAGGCAGCACAATGCACTCGCGGCAACTCCACCAGCAGGACCCTCGCCAAGCCCTCCGCAGCGTCGCATGCGCGGCCACAGGCCGAGCCCCGGGCTCTCGCCCGCCCCGCATCGGGTAGGCGGCCTCCACAACGCCAACGACGGCGGATTTTGCATTCTCGCCTTAGCGTTCCTTAGTGTCATCGTAAAGTTTCAGCAAACAAGCCACATTTCTAAGCCGATGGGCCACCCCAGGAAGGCCCTGGTGCCGGCCAGCGAGGCCCCTGCTCTGTGGCTGAGCAGACGTTCAGGCTGGGTGGGCCCTGAGGGACAACCAGGCTTCGGGCCAGGGCACCCCTCTGCAGGGGTGTCTGGCTGCTCATGGCCAGCAGGAGACAGTCTGAGCAGACCTGCCCCCCACCGTCGACCTAACGGGCCTGCCACGACCAGGCGCCCGAGCCGCACACACGGAGGCCAGAGCCACGCCCATCCGCTCCTCACCGGCCAGAAGGACACACGACAGCTCCAAAGAGCCAGGGCAAACTGGATGGTGGGCCACCCGTGTGCCCTGCAAGTGAGTTCCCTGCGAGGGTGAGCTGGCCACGCCGCTGCCCCCAGTGAGTGCGGCACAGTCAGCCTCACGCACACGCCCAGCGAGGCCACCAGCAGCTCTGGGGACTTCACTCATTAAGGGCCAGATGTCGCTTCCTCCCACAGCAGGCTCGGGGTCCCAGGCCCAGGCGAACCTCCCAGGCTCTCTCGTTCCGCCCCAGCTCCCCGCAGGGCGTGCGACAGCCGACACGCGATGCAGACACCCGTCATCTCCCTGAACACACTCTGCTCCCTGACCCCTGCCCGACCTTCCCGCCAGACAGCAGTGCCCCTGAGCGCCCTGTGCCCAGGCGTCCCCAGGTGCAAAGGCAGTGGGCGTCTTGCCTCTCCCGACCTGCCAGACACCCTGACCTGAGCGGCTCAGACAGGGCAGTGCTGGGCGCACACTTCACTTCACGCACGTGCACGCGCGGGCCCTCACGGGTGTCCCCCAGCGGGACAGGAGGGCTCCTGGGGAGCCAGGGGTTGTCATCCACCAGCTGAGTCAATGACCCGGGAACTCAAAGAAGCCTGTAGGTCATGAAACACAGGGGACCCCGATCCCGCAGGGCCCCAGGGGCCAGCGGGGCCGACTCACTTCATCAGCTCAGGGTCTTCCTTGTCGTCCTTGGCGGGTGTCACCTTGGCTCCAGTTTTCTTGGCACGTGGGCAGCCTGACAAGCTGGTTTAGGAAGAGGATAAAAACAGCAATGGCCCCGGCAGCTCCTCCCAGGTCGAGGCCAGCAGCCCAGGGACCCCACAGAAGCTTCGCCAGCCAGCGCTCTGCTGGGCGGTGGCCAGGCCTGGAGCGTCCCCAGAAGCCCCTGCGCTGCTCGCAGAGCTCTGGGACCATCGGCCGCTCAGGCGGAGGGACAACCGGCCAGGGCAGCCGGCAACGTCAGCGCCTCAACAGGAGCTTTCACCCTCACCTGAGGGCAGAACCCCCCACAGCCGCACCCCTGGGCGTGGCAGGCTCACCTCCGGTGCGAGGCGTAGTTCCCCGTGATGTGGCCAGAGCCGTCGCAGCCGGGCGTGGGGCACCTGCGGAGGACAGCGAAGCTGGGCCAGAGCCGTGGAGCTGGCCCCAGAAGGGCGCCCTGTGTGCTCGGGCCCGGGGCGCCCGCCTGCCCTCTGGGGTCTCACAGACGGTGGTGCCCGTCCCTGCCAGTCCCCCCCGTGACCTCTGGGCTCCAGGACGGTGCCAGCCAGTCCCCCAGTGGGCCCGGGGAGGCCAAGCGGCGAGCGCGGCTCCACCGCAGAGACGATGGCGCCCCAAGCCTTCTGCAGGCTCCAGGCTGGACTACAAAGTTCCGGAACAGACACGGCCCTTAACTTTCAGCTCAAGTGCTCGGAAAGGCCGACTCAAAACCTAAGAGCAGTTCGCCTTCCGTGACGCCACCGCGGGGGGCAAGGGCCAGCCTCAGGACGGTGGCCAGCGCTGTGACTCGCCCTCGGCAGCCCCGGCCTCGAGGCAGCAGTGGGAGCAGGACCCCTGCAGCCCGAGGCTTCTGCGGGGGCAGGCGCCGCACAGGGGCGGAGGGGGGCACGGCCCCACGACCGCCGCACGCTGGTTTCCACATGGGGAGCCGTGCCCGGCCCTGCCAGTGGGGCCTCAGGAGGCCTCCGACCAGGCCCACTGCACGCCTCAGCCCCGGCAGAGACCAGGCAGGGCTTCGCCGCTGCTTGTCACCCTTGTGGAGGGAGAACCGTGGGAGCCAGGCTGTGCCTCAGTCCCAGAGGGGCCCCAGGGGCCATGGCTGCTGGAGCAGGACGCAGGCCTTTGCCTCCCAATCAGCAGACACTCGCGTCCCTGTGCCGTGCCCAAGGCCCTTCCGCAGTGTGCTCTGTCGTCCATGGCACAGGCAACACCTGGCCACCCCCAGACCCCAGCAAGCCGAGCCGCTGCTCCCCACCAGAGAAGCCTGGAGGCTGGTGACGCGGGGGGCTCCAGGTCCAGGGGTGCCCCTTCCCCAGCCTCCACGACTCTCTTGGGGCCCCTGCTCGTCCCTGCCTGTGGCCACACGTCAGACGCCCCCTGGCCTGTCAGCTGACCAACTAGCCACATCGCCCTCTGGCCAGGTTTTGGCATAACTTAAAACCTATTGAGATTGGACAGCTCCTGCCCCGGTCACGGGTGGTCACGTTCAGCCCACACGTACCTGGGGCAAGGAGGCCTTTGCATGTTAACAGATACGGCTCACCACCTTCAGCCAGGCAGGTGTCACCCTTCAGCCAACCCCAAGCGCTGCAGCGCCCAGTCCTGACACTGTCTCTGCATCGTCCGAGGCCCCAGGGTCCTCGGCATGTCGGGGTGGCCCCTCCCTTGCTGTGGGCACCCCACCCCACACCTCTGCCCACTCCCCGGAGGGCCAAGTACAAAGCAAGGCACGGACATGCTTGATCCTGGCTGGCCACCCGCGGTCCTGCTTCTCCCGGCCTCAGGACAGCGTGTGACAGAATTCGGAGGCCAGCGCCGTGGGACCAGCTTGCCCGGGAGCGTCCCACCCGCAGCACTGAGACCCATGGTAACGGCCGTGCCCAGAGCCGTGTCCACGAGTGGCTGGCGTCCATGCAGCTGGAGGGGCTCGTGTCTGCGTCGGGGGCCGGCAGCACTGGCTGCTGGCATGGCCTCGGGGACCCACAGGGTCAGCTGCAGGAGGCCGCCCACCACGTGACCCCGAGCGTGGTGTCTGCACAGGACGACCCCGTGAGTAAGTGGCACACACGCAGGGTTCACCTCTGAGCCCCACGCAGGGTGTGGCTGCACCCAGCTCCCCACGAAAGGGACCACACGAAAGGGACCACGAACGCACTTGGGATTTCACCAAAACACAGAAGCCACATCATACGAGACTGTCACCGCACCCAGCTGTGACGGGGAGGCCACCAAAGGGCGCGCCTGCAAGGTGGCGGCACAGGTCTCTTGCCCTGGGGACGGGCCGCCTGCACCCGTCCGCTACGAGTCTGCCATGTGCCCACTGGGCAGGAGGAGGGGAGGGGGGGACGGACCGTGGGCACCAGACGCAGCCGAGGCCCAGCCTGAGGGAGGCGAGGGCCGGGCGCCTACGGGAGGACCCCGGAGAGGAGCGCGCGGGCCGGGCCTCGCTCGCGCTGACGCGTGATCGTTTTCACGCAAGGAAGACCTGCTGCTGCCATTTCTGACTCCGCTCCGGGTCTCGGACGGGGGCTCGCCCTCCCCGACAGCCACCTCCCGCCACGCAGCCAGCGCCCGAAGGCTCACGTCCGAGCCCAGAATCGCCTCAGACTGGAAGCCCATGAACACTGATCACAGGCGGAGAAAGAAGCGGGGAGGAGGGTCCGCGACGGAAGGAGAGGGAGCACGGAGTGGGCTCAGGAAGGAGGTCCCAGCGGGGCTGCTGGGCTGGGCACCGCGAACGGACAGGTGACATGTGGGTGTGTGTGACGTCAGAGCCTCAGGCTCTGGTAAGGCTGTGGCCCTGGAAAGACCGTCGTGGGCTGGACCCCGCCTCGTCTGCGGGAACGGGGAGCCTCTTGGCAGCGAGGGGAGGGAACCGCCCGGACGTGCACCCGGAGCCGTCCGCCCGCCTCTGAACCGGGGCCTGGGAGCCCCCGGCAGCAACAGCGCCTCACCCGCGAGACCCCAGGGTGGACCGGCCAGGAAGACTTGGCCTGCACTCAGGGCCTCCAACACAGAGGCCTGAGGGAGGCGGACCAGCCCTGGGGAGGGGCGGCCTGGGGGCAGTAGTGGGACCTCCTTCCTCAGCCTTGGTCAGCTTGGGAGTCACAGCTCAACAGAAGGCAGAGAAACCAAAGGCAAGGACAGTCCCCAGCTCCAGCCCGAGAGGACGCTGAGACCGGGGAACCCTCCGGTGCCCGCGTCTTGTCTGAGCAGGACCCTCAGGCAGGTAGCTGCCACCCTCAGGGCCGGGACCAAGCAGAGGGAGGGGGGCTCAGCAAAGCGAGAGGCCGAGCGTGGCGGCCAGGCTGTCCAGGGGACGGGGTTGCCAGGGCCAAGACAGAGCAGCCGGGAGGGGCGGCAGCAGGGGAGGGGGCCGTAGCAAGAACAGCCTACAGCGCACAGAGCCGCAGCGGACAGACACGGCCAGGCCAGTCCCGGGCCGCTGCGCACAGCGCGTGCAGGCGGCGAGCAGAGCAGGCCAGGCAGCCCCATCCTCGGGAGAGCTGAGCCGTCCAGAGCTGGCGCCCTGCTCCCCTCCCGGCCTTGGCCCGCGGAGAGGCCGGCAGGGCCGAAGGCAGCACAGGAGCCGATAGCAGCCTCCCGGCCAGAGGGGACAGGGGCAGAGCGGGGGACGCACAAGCCACAGCAGCCGGCTGAGCAGAATCAGCCCTTCCACGGCCCTGCCTCTCCGCTGGGCGGGCCGGCCTGGGGCTCTGGCCCCGGAGAAGCCGGTTTGGGCTCAAGCCCCATGGAAGGACAGAGTGGAGCCGGAGAGCCACCGGAGAGATGGGAGGCCGGGAGGGCGGACATACTTGAGGTCAGCAGAATGGGCAGCCATGAGGTTTCTGAGGCTCTTGTCAGCAAGAGGACAACCAGAGAGGCTGAAAGAGAAGAGATGGGCACCGCGGTGAGCCCGAGGCGGGGAGCGGGGGAGGCGAGGGGAGGCCCACCGCGAGCACCTGGCCAGGCCGGACCCAAGCGGGGGACGAACCTGCGGTGGGAGGCATAGTTCCCGGTGATGTGGCCACTGCCGTCACAGCCGGGGGTGGGACAGCTGGACAGAGGAAAAAGAGCATCAGAACAGAGAGCAGGGCACACCTGCCAGGCCGAGCCTGCGTGGCGGGGGCCGTCGCCTGCCCCCGGCTCGAGGGGGACAGCTCCTCCCCGCAGTCCTCGGAGCACAGCTGTCGCCGCGCAGACTGCCGGTTGCTCCCGCACTTAACTCAAGAAGGAAAAACGAACTGGTCTGAAGCTTGGCCTCTGAGCCCATGGGTCATGTGTGCACACGTGTGCACAGCCACGGACATGCGGGCATGGCCTCCTGAAGACAAGGTCCCAGGCCAGAGCCTGGGTCCGGCTGTCCTGGGGAGCCAGCTCCAGCAGGAGGAAGCTGGGGGGGTCAGGACGAGCAAAGAGCAGCCCCAGGAACGAACTCCGACCCGGGCGAAGGCCGGGTCTCCTGCCACGCAGCTGCCCCATGCAGCCTCCCACAGAGGCGGCTTCCGGCGGGCCGACCAGAGGCTATGGGATGGCAGCTGGCCCCTGGCCACCAGCAGACTGCCCGCTCCAATGGCGGCTGGTTAAACCCCGTGAGGACCAGCTCAGAGGGGCCACCAGGCTGACGAGGCGCGGGGGCCGAGTCCCGCGACAGAACGATGCGGGGCCTGGGCGCCGAGAGCCGGCTCGGGGCGGGCAGCGCCCTCCGTCCGGCTCCGCCCTGCGGGTCGTCTGCGTGCCTGGTCACCTCAGACGGTTGTATCAGGGCCCAGCACGACAGGCGCAGTCCACCTGCCACCTGCCGCCCGGCTCCCTGCAGGACGCCTAACCGCTGCCCACCGTGCAGACGGGCCCAGCCGCCTGATCCCGCGCCGACCGCGGAGGCCCCCGGGGAGGCCTGGAGCCCAAGGCGAGGACTTACGTCAGCAGCTCCTTCTTCATGTCCTTGGACAGAAACTTCAGCTTAAAGCTGGTGAGGGTGACGTCCCCAGGGTACCGCCGCTCCTCGAAGCTCTCCTCCAACGCTTCCTGGTCATCTGCTTCAGAGGAAGCAAAAGAATGGGCTGCTGGCTCTGACTGCAAAAAACCAGCGGGGAGAAGTTTTAACGGCCGGCAGGGCCGGGCGCCCGGCCCGGGGGCTGAGGGGCAGGGACCCTTCGGGAAGCGTCCGCAGCGGCACTTCTGGAGTCTCCCGTCTTCTGGACGAGGGAGGCGGCCAGTCTCCCGGACGCAGAGGACAGCGGCCTGAGGGACTGCAGTGCCCCCCACCTCCCCGGAGCTGCCCCAGGAACGTGGGGCCTCGGGCACGTGGCCACCTGCCACCACGCGTCCCCACCTAGTGCAGCTCCCCAGGGGCACACGGTAGGCCACAGTGGGGTGGTCACACCGTGGCGCAGCCAGAGCGGCAACATGCGAAGCAAAACTAACCAGTGAGCTGGTGGCCGCCGGCCCTACACCACCCAGCACGGTTCCTGCACCACGGAGGCGCTTAGTAACCCTCGGGACTCGAACCCCGGGCCCGGGGCAGAGAGCGTGGACGCAGCGTGAACGGGGACAGGCCCTGCCTGTGAGGTGGGGGACAGGGACAGCCTACAGGAGCCAGGACGGCCAGTGCCTGTCCCTCACAGGCGGCTCACAGACCACAGTCAGACCCCAGCAAGCTGTTCACCCTCTTGGGCCCAGGCACCACTTTTAGGCTGGAGGAGGTGGCAGTCCTTGAGGGCTACTGGGGACCGGACCAGGAAAGCCATTGAAGCGCTTGGCGGTGGGAGGACAGCCTACATCTGGTCACTGTGACCGACTCTTTTGTCGGCCGAGCCGGACGACACTGAGCCTCCCAGATGTGTGGGGCCCCCAGAGGTCGGAGCAGGGAGCGTGTCCCAGAGACCCAGGACAGCGGGACGGTGAGGCCGGCGGAGGGGGAAGCTGCGTCCCAGGGCTGGCAGCCTCGCCCAGGACGGGTCAGGAGCCCTGGGCAGAGCCAGATGGAGGGCCTGGGCCGGGAGTCCAGGGCCACGGCTCAGGGACTGAGAAGCCTGGTCGGGGACGTGTTCCTGGGGGTGTCCAAGAGGACGTGGGGTGCCTGTGCCTACGAGAGGGGGCAGAAGAGAGGAAGGGTCTGGGAGCGGACTGTGGCTTCTGCACACAGCCCAGCCTGCTGACCGTGGGTCAGTGCGCGAGGGCGGGCTTCAGTGGGCGGGAGCCTCAGGGCCTCTGAGGCCGGGGTCACCCCGCAGGTGGCAGGGGCAGAGCCAGGAGGCAGCCAGGGTGCTCGGAGGCAGTGAGGGGGGCGGGGGGAGGTGAAGCAGCCCGGGAGGCCAGCCCGCGCTGGGGGATGAGGGACGGGGCAGGGAGAGAGCCAGAGGGGCCACTGGACGGGGCGGGGCAGCCGAGGCCACGGCAGCCGGCCTGAGACGGGTGACAGCAGCTCTGCAGGACACCCCTCCCCCCAGACTGGGCTCCTGCTGACCAGGAGGAAGCGGCCTGCACAGCCTCGGGCCTCAGTCAGAGGTGCCCCTGCTCTGGGGCCTGACACCAAGCTACAGCCGAGTGGCCGAGCCAAGTGACCCCGGCCTGGGGCCCGGTCCGCTCCTCCGTAAAGTGAGGTGTGTGTGACACGTGCAGAGGGCGCCTGGCTCACCAGGAGGACGGAGCCTCGGAGGCGGTGGGTTCTCAGAGGCACCGGTTCCCACCACCTCCTCCCCCACAGGGACCTGCCCTCCTGGTGGCAGGGGAGGGGACTTTGCAGAGGTCGCCAGGGGCCTGGGACGCCTCACATGGGACTTTATTGTTCTGGGCACACAGCTCTCTGGGAAAAGCCGTCAGTGAGCCCCTCCCAGTGGGAGCGGTGACTGGACGGAGGCCGCCCGCGTCCGCAGACCACAGCCCCAGCTCGGGTGCCGACTTTTCTCTCTTTGGCGGCCGTGCTGGTCTCAGGGCTCGGTGCCGCCCGCCATGGGGCTCCTGAGGCCAGGAGTTTCCTCCTGCCTCTGTCCAAGGACCAAGGCAGCCTGGAGCACCTTGGGGACAGTGAGGGGCCGCCAGGGTTTGGGTGTCCCTATCTGGACAACAGGTGGGTAGGAGGCCCGCAGAGCCAAGGAACTCAGGGCCAGTCCCACGTCCCCCTGTGGGGTCCGGAAGAAGCCCCCTCCTCCCCTGCCCAGGGCCTCCTCATCTGTGCAGTTGACAAGGCCACCTCTCTCGTCCAGACAAGGACACAGCATGGCCCAAGGGCGAAGAGCCCTTCAAGGGGGTGGGCTAAGTCCCAGCTGCCCAGAGGGTGCAGGACCTGCATGAAAACGGACAGGACCCCAGCTCTGCCCGGAACAGCTCATGCACGGACGCCAGCCCCAGATGTGCAGCCGCCCCTGCCCGGCGGCCCAGCACCCACCTCCTCGGGCTCCCCCTCCCGCTGGCGGCTGGGCTTGGTGTAGTCCAGGGGCCGGTCCCACTCGTCCTGGCGGGAGGCCTGGCTGGGCTGCGGCGAGGTCACGGAGCCGCTGGGGGCGCTGCCGCTGTCCCGGCGCTGGGGGGCGTCGGGGGGCCTGACGCCGGGGCTGCTGCTGCCACCAGGGAGGGCACCCTCCCGCCTGCGGTGCTTGTGCATGCTCAGGTCCAGTGTCCCGTTTTCGTCCACTTCGATGTCCACGACCTGCGATGGCAAAAGGGAGACCCGTGTGCGTGACCGCGCCGCCACACGTGCCTCCTGGGGCTGAAGTCAGCACTGCAGAAGTCCAGGCAGCCCCTCCTCCGACCAGGGGGACGATGGCCTCCGGGGATTCCTGAGCCTCAGCGGAGGGGTCACCACCCCTCCTTGGATGCTCCCAACACTGTGACCAGGCTCTCCAGTGAGCACGCTCCGGCGAGAGCAGGTACACGACCCTCAGACCCAGAGCTGCAGGGGAACACGCATGTGCGCCCGTCCCCCCTAGGCACAGCACACAGCTCCCTGGGGGTCGGGAGGGAAGATGAGAATGACCATGGCTGAGAGCTGCAGGGGAACACGCATGTGCGCCCGTCCCCCTAGGCACAGCACACAGCTCCCTGGCTGTCGGGAGGGAAGATGGGAATGACCATCAGCAGCCAGACCCGGGTGTCACTGAGCATGCTCTGCTCAGGGGCCACGTGGTCCCGACTGCAAGGCCCTTCGCCCCACCTCTGCCTCAGAGGGGCCTCCTCGCGGGCGCCCCACCGACCTTGCGGGGCGCCTCCTGCGGCTTCGTGCTGAGGTTCTCGGGCATCTCCCAGCAGCGCGTGGACAGATTCAGGATGGCGGTGGCGGCCATGTGCGCAGCCTCGGCGTCATGCGTGTAGTCGAAGCCTGCAGGAGGGGATGGGGTGCAGGAGCTGTGCCTGGGGGGAGAGCCCCTTGGGAAAGGTTTGGCTGCAAAAAGGGAACAACACCAGGCTGTATAGACCGGAAAGGGAGGCGACCAGCAGACACGGGGGGACTTTGGGAGCACACAGGACACAGCCACGTGGAAGGTGGGCTTCGGGCGTTGAGGAGGCTATTTCTGGCCTGAGCAAAATTTGTGCAGAAAGCGTGAAATCCTCCAAAGATATTCTAGCATCTCTGACATTCCAAACAAAAACAGCTGCTGTCTGCCAGCGAACAGTTACTGGGAGACTAAAGAATTCTGTAAACAGGGTGAGTGTTTGGAATATCATCGGGTAGGACACCTGAGTCACAACATTTCAAAGGCTGGTGACCCCACCCTAGTCTCTGCTTTGATAAAGTAACACAGTTATTCAAATAAACATGACAAAGGCATAAATTGTTATTTTTTCTATTGACTGTGCTGTGGCCGTAAAATCACTCTCAGGTACATTTCCGAGAATCTGAGCATCACCAATAACTTTCCAGATCTGGTCGAGCTGGTGCCTGGGCCAGCACGTGGGAAAGGTTCCCTCCAGCCGGCAGCTGCATCAGGCGGTATTTTTATCATTAACGTGGAGGAGATGGTCACCACCGCTCGGGGGCGTATCCGGCAGGAGACGCAGGTTCCAATCCCACGTGCCCTGGGGCTCCTCCGTTCCGGACACGTTTCCCGTGGAAGGGGCTCGCAACCCACAAGGCAGCGCAACGAGTGATCGAAAAGCCCGGAAAGGCTACTCTCGAAGGGCCGTTTTTGCGAGTACGAGTCCCCCACGCAGGAAGCAAGTGGCTCCTCTTGGGGGGCCCCGGCCTGCGCCCAGCACCGCGGTCGCCAGAGCCCCGACCCCACAGAAGGAGCGGGCTGGGAGCCGGGGAGGGGCGCTTCCGCGGGGCGGCCCGCGTCAGCTAAGCGGTCCTTAAGCCTTTGGGTGTGCGCACCATGAAGGACCTGGTTTGGTGTCACAGTTAGTGAGGGGCACGTCAAGTCTGATGGTGAACACGGAGCGGCGTCGCGGGCAGGAAAGACCCCCACAAAGCCAGCACGCGGCGCTGGGACGGCCGGGGCCCTGGTCTGCCACGTCAGCCCCCCGGGGAGAGACCCCCAGTGCTCCTGGCCTGGTGCCCCCTTTTTTCGGCTCATGCCCCCCAGGAGCAGCCCCCCCCACTCACATTTAAAGGCTTTGGGTGAGGTCTCGCTGGTTGGCATCTTTGGGGCAAGCATGCGTTTGCCAAAAACCTGAGCATCGAAACTTGCGTAGTCGAAGGTGACCTTGGAGAACTTCTCCAGCTCCTTGGCCAGGTTGGCCCTGGGTGTGGCAGGGGCCACACTGGGCCGGTAGCTTCCATACGGAGGGACCTCGAGCTGCTTCACGAAGCACATGGGTCTGGGGTAACGGGAGAAGAGCAGACCATGAGGACAGGCCCCAGGGACCCCTGAGAGCCAGTGTGGACGGAGCGAGGGAAACCCTCGCCCGGGTCCCAGCATGGAGGGCACTGTGTGAGGGGGGATGGCACGTCCTCTCGCAGACACCGTGAGCCAGAGGAGGGCACTGAGGCCTCCCCCAGAACTCAGGAGAGCAGGTTCCAGACACGTCAGGGGGCCTGGCCGCCAGCCCTCCCAGGCAGGGTCCCCTGGAGGAAGCAGAGGGTGGCTGTGTTTCTGAGAGCCAGCCTCCAGGGGGCGGTGAGGTGGCCCTAGGGAGGATGCTGGGAGGATCGAGGACAGGCCTGGAAAGGCGCCCGAGAGACAGGAGGCGGGGGGACGACCACCAGGAGGGTCAACCACACAGCCCCGAGAGGAGCAAGGGGAGAGGCCGGGAGAGCCCCCCGCTGCCCCGCCCCTTCGTCCCGTGTCTGAACTGAGCAGCGACTTCATTCTGCAGAGGTGGGACTGGGAGGGGCCGACGGCGAGGGGCCCCAGGCCGCTGGGCGCTGTAGGAACCCGAGTGTGGTTCCAACAAGCCCAGTGACAGAGACCACGTGACACTGAGCCAGCCCCGCAGGCCTTGGAAACTGGACGCCCCCGAGCGGGCCACGTCCCCGTACCCAGGAAGGGTGGGGTTGGCAGGACGCCGTCCAGTGGCTGGAGAGGCACCGGGCACACAAACCCTGAATGTGACACTGGCCCCACGTTGCGATGGCTCCCTCGGCCGGGCTTCAGCCAGCAGCACAGACTTAGTGTCCGTGACACCAGCAAGGCTTTGCAGACTCCCACGCCACGGGCGCGACACCCAGAAATGTGGCCACGGAGAACGGACAGAGCCCGGACGGCCGGACTCTACACCCTGGACATTCGCCAGCGCCCCTGCTCCTCTGCCTGGGAGGCGGAATCTCACGCCTCATTCGGCCTCATGAGAAACGTCCGAAGTCGCGATGCAACATTGCGCCCGCTTTCGCAGGCCAGCAAGCTGAGGTCGGGGTTCCTGGGGCACGGCCTCCGAGTTGGAGTCTGTCGGCCTCACCTGCCTCATGGCCTCACGTTTTCTCAGTGACTTAGATCAGGGCAGGAAAAGGATCGAATTAGTAACCGACAGGAAGTCAGAAGGAGCAGCAACGAGCTGCAGAGACGAAGCTCCCAGTCACTGCGAGAGCCGCTGGCTCTCAGAAGGCAGCTGACGTGACCGTCCTGTGTGCAGTGGGTGGAGCCGGCTGCACGTGCGGGGCTGAAGGCCCTGTGGGCGGCCCGTGGGACACCTCAGTGCAGGGAGGCAAGGGGCCGCCCCCCCCAGAGAGCCCCCCAAGGCACCCTTGGAACAGCCAGGGACGGCCAGCTTCCCCCAACTAAAACTTCGCCAGGCACGGGCTGTGGAAGGGGCAGGGCTCAGGCGGGGCCTGCAGGGAAGTGGGTGGCCAGAGGAGGCACAGCCACTCTCCAGACCAGCGTCCATGCCGTCACCCATGGCAGCCAGGTGCGTGGCCTGTGCCAGGTGCGGTGGCTCCAGGCTCCCACGCTCTCCTGCGGGAGGCGGGCACAGACCGTGGCTCTGGAGCACTCGGGTGTCGGGGGCGGGGGACTCGCGTGACTGCTGGCTCCTCGGAACAATAGCAGAGAGGGGGGGCAGTGACCCCAGAGCAGGAGGCGCTGTGTGCCCGGGACGCGGTCCCCCTGGCGGGGCCCTGTGCTCAAACACGAGACTCAGGCCAGGCTGGCCGAGTGGACGGCGCGGGTGGCCTGGGGTCTGCGCCTCTGGCCTTGTTCTCGGCACCCACTTCACGGGGTCGTGTGGAGGGAGGGGACGCGGAGCGGACGAGCTCTGAATGGTCTTCTGGGAGCCCTCCTACCAATGCGCCGCTGCACACTCGCACACGCACGCGAGTGTGCACACACGCCCGCCGCCGTCTCAGCACCGGAGAGCGCCACGCGCTCTGCTCCTGCCTCTTCCTCTAGCGTCGGTCCCTGCCCCGGAGGCCGAGGCGGCCAGGCAGGCGCAGTGGGTCCCTGTGCTTCCGGACGGCAGTGCCCTCTGCGGACAGCCCACCCCCTCCAGACGGGACCCGCATCCCCACATGAGCCCCGCGGTCCCGGGGGAGAGCGGCAGGGGCAGCGGAGTGGGCGCGTGTGCCACAGGCGGCGCACTGTGAATGCGCCTGACGGGACCGTCCTGAGTCCCCGAAACTGGCCGACGCCGCCACCCCCAGGAGGCCCTCACGGCAATGCGAGGCCTCGGCACACGCGCACGCACACAGGCGTACAAACACACGGGCGCACACGGAAATGCACACTCATGCACACACAAACATGGCACACGAGCATGCACAAGGCACGCACGCACACACGCACGTGCACCGGGAGACGGAGCAGCCCTTTGGGGCCGCGGCCTCTTCCACCCACCTGAGCGTCCGGTCTGAGCTGGAGCCGCTCTTGGCAGGGTCTCCCGTCGGCGGCTGCTGCTTCTCGTGAGACTTGGCCAGCTTCTCAGCAGCAGCGATGGGACACCCAGACAAACTAGAGGAAGGACAAGGGGACAGCTGAGCCCTCTCCTCCAGGCCCTGCCGGCCCAGGCCAGGACACTGGGAGCAGCAGCCCTGAGGAGCCTGCGGCTCCCGCACTGGGTCCCTCTCCCGCTCTGCGGGCCTCGAAGTGCCGGTTGCTCAGGCAGCGTGCATCTGGGGAAACCCTTCGACGATGGCACCCGAGGGTGACGCGCGCTCGGCCGGCCCAGAGCACCGCACGGAGGCTCCTCGGGAGCTCGGGTGATGGGCCGCCCCTCCCTCCTGTCTCCTCACCGCCCGCCCACCTGCCTTGGGGAGGGGCTCTGGCTCGCAGCCCGTCAGTCAGCTCAGAGAGACCCTGAGCCTCGCGGGCCACGACCAGGGCACGACCCCAGAGGGCAGGGACTGCCAGGGTCGCACCAGGGGCTCGCAATCTGAGACATCACGGTGCGGCCCCACCTGTCGGCACTCAGTGACCACGCTGGGTCTGCAGAGGTGACGGTCACAGCAGCACCCAGGAACCCAGCCTGTTCTCACAGAGTGACCTCGGCGCCTCTGGCAGCCCCTTCACTGGGCGCGTGCCTGCTGGAGCCGGGGTGCGTCCCCTCTCGGCCACGGCCACCGTGGGCTCAGGAGCAGGGAGACGAGTGCGCCAGAAACCTCACTGCTCCCAGGTCCCCGTGCCCCACAGGGTGGCCCGGAGCCCGGTCGGCCCGCAGTGGCTTCCGCACAGTGGCAGGGCCGTCTCGCTGGCCGTCACCGTGGCAGGAGGCCTCTCTGCCCCCACCCTCGCTGCGCCCACTCCCACTCACAGGGGCGCCGGTGGTCACACCTCCAGGTGCCGCTCTGACCCCCAGAAGCGGTTGGCCCTGACCTCACACCAGCCTCGAGGGGCGGCACAGGGGACGTGGCAGGCCCAGCCCAGCCCAAGTACCTTCGGTGCGTGTTGCGGTTGCTGTTCACGTGGCCTTGGCCCGTACAGCCCGGGGTCGGGCACCTGAGCACATTCTCATGCATGGCCAGGACTGCGAGAGAACCGGGGAGCGGCGGTGAGCCAGGCAGGACGTGGCAGCCCCCCCAAAGGCTACAGCTTGCAGCGGCGGCTCAGAGGTGCTCCATCCCCCAGTCCCCAGCCTGGCGAGGCCCGTCCCCTCCCACGGAGGACCACTGCCTCCTGGGGCAGAGACCAACTCAGCGCTATAGCCACCAGCCGGTCTGTGACTCATCCCTGTGAGTTTAGCGTCCACCATCACTGCCTCCAGCCAGGATGACGGACGTGCTTTCTCCTGAGCACCCCCAACCTGGCCCTGACCCAGGCCGCCATCTCGAGGTAAATGACTGGGCACACTCCGTGTCTCCAGCCTTGTAGGGCCAAGACCGGGCATCTGGAGCTTGCCAACCCGAAGGGACAGGACCCTGCGTGGCCACGCCCGCCCGGGGCACCATCCAAGCAGCAGGGACCACCCGTGCTACTCACTCTCCGGCGGGATCCTGTCCTTGTGGGGGCAGCCGGACAGGCTACGGTGGTGAGGGTACAGACCGGTCACGTGGCCCGTGCCATCACAGCCCGGTGTCGGACACTTGATCTCCCGTTTCTCAGCTCTCGAGGAATCTAAAACACAAGCCACACTCCTCAGAGGCCAGGAAGCCGGTGGGGGGTGGGGAGCAGGGGGACCGACAGCTCCGACTCCCTCTCTCCGGCCACCCAGACAGGAGAATGGCCAGACTGCCCCGAAGCCTGGGGGGTCCAGGGCCTGGACCATGGAGTGGCCCTGGAGAAGCTGGCGTCTGCCCAGGCAGCTCAGCAGAGCGCTGCATACACAGCCCACGTGCGCTGGCGCCCGCTCCCTCGCCCACTGGCTTCCACGTGGAGGCCAGGGCCCCCAGCCCGAGGTCCAGCCTCCGCACAGAGCTGGAGGTGGAGGCATGTGACAAGGGCCCCATCAGGTCGTGTCCTCTGGATCTGACAAAATGAGGACAAATAGGTAACTTACCCTAAGCCGTGTGACTAATAAACGCCTTGGTAGAATTTAAAGCTCAAATCTCAGTTACTGGCCTCACCCAGCCCACAGCGGTCACTGGTGAGTATGGGGCCCCGAAGTCACAGAGCCGCCCTCACAGGGAGGGCAGGGCCCCGAGGGGCCGACAGATCCCCCCAGGGTCTGCTTCCTGAGCTGACTCTGTCCAGGCCTCTGTCCAGGGCGCCCGCCATGTCCTCAGGCCCGTGCACTCCCAGCTGGACCTGCACCGCCCTGCGGCTCTGTTCCCTGGGTCCGTGCGTGCTGCGTCCAGCCCCCTGATGTCTGCCCCACAGGGATGAGTCACCGAGCTCCTGGCCTGGGGCTGTCACTTTGTCTGTGCCATGGTGTCCCTGTTCATGCACCTCCCCAGCAGAGTCCCACTGTCTGTGGGCACCGAGCCTGCCCCTAAACTGACACCCTACACAGGCCCCAACGCCATGCCCGAGGCCATATCACCTTCTCCTTGTGTCCATGGCCCCTAAAGGCCTGAGCCTGAGCCCGTGCTGACCAGAATATGTGACCCCAAATAGCTGTCCCTCAAGCCTGTGCCACCCTGAAAGGGGTCCCCCTCGACAGCTGCCCTCCAGGTTGCAGGGACAATCCCAACTGCGTCCCCCAGCCGTGCCCCTGAACACATGCTTCTAAGCTGCTCTCATGTGCGTGACATTCCCAGAGATTCTGGCCCCGCATCTCAGCCAGCAGGAGGTGCCCACAGCTCAAGTCCCTCCACGGCCCAGGTGTGTCCCACAGGCTGTGGCAGAGCCGCTGGGGCCAGCTCACTGTCCCTCCCACCCCCTCCTCCCACCTGGAGCCTCAGTGTGTGTTTCTCTCCAGAAATGGGCCCCACGTGAGCCCATTTCTGCAGGTCCAATGGCCACGGTCAGTGGTCATGTGCGTATTCGTCCCTCATCTCATCCGTCCACCACCGCAGACCTTCCTCCAGCCACCTCTCCCCCGGGGCCTGCCTCCCCACGCCTGGGCCGTCTGCTCACGCCTGGGTGAGGACGGGAGGTGGCCAGCGCCCAGCCTACCTTTGCCGCAGCAGGTCCTCGGCGGGGCATCCAGGGGCCGGGCCCCCTTCGCCGGCTCGCCCGGGCTCGGCTGGCCCTGCTCGGCCTTCAGGGCGATGGCCTGCTCCAGGAGGCCCAGGTTCCCGCGGGTCATCACGTCGTACATCTCCGACGCATCTGTGACCGCAGACTTCTGCGAGCGCGAGTCCTCGTCCTGGCCGTCGTCCGAGCGCACCTCCACGAGGACGGAGTACGCGGGCTCGGGGCTGGCGGGCTCGGGGGCCCGCGGGGTGGGAGCGCAGGGGGCAGCGTCCTCACAGATGCACCCGGGAGCAGCGTCCTCGTCCTCGTCCTCATCCTCGTCTGCGTCCCCGTCCTCGTCCTCGTCCTCGTCCTCGTCCTCGTCCTCAGCCCCGTCTGCGTCACCCAGGGTGACTCTTGGCTTGCTGGACTCCTCGCTGCTCATACCCTCCAGGGAGCGTTCGCTGGTGACCTCGATGACTTCCTCTGCCTCTTCCGGCTGGATAAAGATGTCCTTGTCCCCTTCGTCACTGGTAGCCCCTTCTTCAGGCTCATCCCGCAGCAAGTGCACCACACCGGGGCCTCGTCTGGCCCCTTGGCCCGAGTCCTCCCTGACCAGGGCCTCTTCGGCGACCTGGCCCAAGTTCAGGAGGGACGTGGCGATGAGCTCCTGGTAGCCTCTGGAGGGGCCTGCCGGGCTGCTGATGGGGCCAGAGGCCGCACGAGAGGTAATGGGGCTCCGTCCTACATGAGACCAGAGACGCCACGTGGGATGGATCCGGGGAGGGGGCGGTCAGGCCCTGGTGCCCCCCACCCTGCCCAGCCGGGTCTGAGGTGACACTGAACTTCTGCCACTGCCTTCCCAAAGCCATGGTGTGAACTTTCTCAAGTCAGGTCAACATGCGTTTCGTGACATGAAGCTCAAATACATCAGATTTTAAGAATTGCTTCAAAATTGAAAACCAGTAAACAAACTTATGTTTCTAAAGGGCCCAAGTTTGTACTTCAGCCACCATGACAGAGGCCCAGGGCACCCCAGCACATGCAGGCCAGCGAGGTCGTCCGCACATGCTCAGACACTCAAGCCCCCCGCACCCCGCAGGAGGCAGGTGAGCCGGCCCTCTTCTCCTGGACTCCAGGACACCGGCGTGCAGACCCTCCCCGGACTGGCTCCAAAACAGAATAAAAATACACCTCAGACCCTGCAAGGGTGGGAGACAGCAGCAGCCTGAGGTTTGGGGCGGTCCGGACCTCAGCCCTTCACACTGGCCTTTGTCGAGCGCTGGGGCCTCAACCTGGCCACCCCGGTGGGCCCCACAGGGCAGAAGTTTCCCACAGAGACCCTCGGTCACCCTCCCGTCTTGCTCTGTGGGTGCCAAGCAGCCCCCTCACCCTGGCCCCCGGGGGCTCTTCCCGAGGGCCAGACACACACCCCGCGTGTCCGCCCGCCTCCCACACAGACCCCCGTCCACAGGCCCCCTGCCCAGGAAGTCCCAGCCAGGGTCAGGACAAGACGTCACTTGTTCTCGGGAAGGGCTTTCTTGGCAGGTGGGCTGTCCCTGCCCACAGGCAGCGATTCACCAGGGACACACTCGGTGCCTTTGTTCGGGGAAGAGAGAGCCACAAAGCACCTTCAGCTGGCTCAGCGCGATGAATCTCGTCCTGTCCTGACATCTCGGCGTCGTCCTCCTCCAGAGTGGCTTCCGATTCACCCGAAACAGAGGCGTCCTTCACCGCGGCGTCCTCACTGCCATCGCTGTCCACGCTGTAGCCCTCATCAAGAGCCAGCTTCAGGGGCTGAGACTTCCGCTTGGACGCCAGGTGCTGGGCCTCGGTGCTGTCCAGCTTCCTCTTCTTGGCCAGAGGGCAGCTCTGCAAACTGGGCGGAGGAGACCGGGGCCAGGGGCCACCCCGTCAGCACGCCCGGGTCCCCTCCCGCCCCGCCCCGCGCCCGCCTTTGCGTCTCGTCGCCATCCCGCAGCTGGATGCCCCAGACCCCCTGCTGGGTACGAGACTTTACACCCACCACCCACGCAAGAAGCTCCCGACACGCTTCCAATTGCATTTCCTGCTTCTCAGACCTGACCTCGGCAGGACCCCAGAGCCATGCCCGAGTGCGGGCGCCTGGCCGGGGGCTCTGCAGGTCCTCGGAACGGCCACCACAGTGGGGTAACTGAGGGCCCGCTGACCCCCCAGATGACGACCAGGTGGCAGGACACCCAGGTCACCCTATTGTGCACATGATCTGCTCTGGGGTCCCCGCCGTGCCGCCTCCCTCCCACGGCCACACACGCACGCACACACTCACACACACTCACACACGCGCACACACACACGGACACACACATGGACACACATACACACGGACACACACGGAAACACACTCACACAAAGACACACACGGACACACACGCGCACACACACACGGACACACACATGGACACACATACACACGGACACACACGGAAACACACTCACACAAAGACACACACGGCTGCACACACACAGACGCACATGCACACACAAACTCACACGGACACACACACACGGACTCACACACACACACACACGGACACACACATAAACACTCACACATGGACACATGGAAACGCACTCACACGGACACACGGAAACACACTCACACACACTCACACGGACACACACAGAAACACACTCACACGGACACATGGAAACACACTCACACACGGACACACGGAAACGCACTCACACGGACACACGGAAACACACTCACACACGGACACATGGACACACACTCACACACAGACACACACGGACACACACACACAGACACACACACAAGGACACATACATGGACACACACACGCACACACATACACATGGACACACACATACACACAGACAAACACTCACACAAAGACACACGGCTGCACACACACAGACGCACATGCACACACACACTCACACGGACACACACGCACGGACACACACACACACGGCCCCACACATGCACGCACGGACGCACGCACGCACACACGGCCGCGCTCAGTCTCAGTTGTGCAGGACTCCGGGCGCCCACGGCCAGAAGTGGAGGTTCGAGGCCCACAAAGGGTACCTCCTGGGAGCAGGGCTCCCGCTCCCAGCAGCCCACGCCCCCCAGGATTCTGGCGAGGGCCCGCGGCCTCCTTACCTGCGGTGCCGGGAGTACTTGCCCCGTGCGTGTCCCGAGCCTGTGCATCCTGGGGTCGGGCAGCTGCGGGGGACGGGCGGGAACGTCACGCGGGGCAGGCTGAGCCCACGGGAACCCCCCAGACCCTCCCTGGGGGACAGAAGACCGTCTCCAAACCGTCCATCTCGGCACGGCCGCTCGCCATTTGCTAAGAATGAATGAAATAGCTCCCCGCCTTTAATCCCACGAACGAAGTGATTGTGACTCCACGAGTGCGTGTGATTAGATAAGACTTCCGGCTCGGCCCCTGACCGGCTCCCTCCCCCCACAGAGGTCCTTCCCCGTGCAGGCACACTGCCACCGGGCTCCCAGGGCTGGGACTCGGGACCCTCTGAGTCTGGCCCAACAGAAGTGCAAATCCTGGGTCCCCTGTGACCATGGCCGACATCCTGTGCCCCGTGTGCCCTTCTCCTGGCAGGAGCGAACCTGTGACATGCAGACCTGGCCCCCAGCTGGACCGGGCACAGCATGGTGGCGAAGACCCAGCTCCAGCACCAGCACCTGGCGTGGGCCCAGCTCCCCATGAACGGAGGCGAAGCCCAGAGGAGCCACGGCCCAGGAGCTGCCGGGGAGAACTCGGCGGCATGAGGCCCAGGAGCTCCCAATACCCGTCTCCCGCAGACTCAACCTCGGGGTGTTCCAGAAACTTCCGATCCTGGACACGGATCGGAAGGAGGACCGTGGGGGGATCAGGGTCCTGCGGGCTGCCGGACACGCCCCCCAACCACGGACAGTTCTGCAGAGCAGCAGCCTGACAGCCAGCGAGACGCCTAACAGGGGCCTAGCCCCTCGGGGGAGGGGTCACCCCAGGGCCCTGCCAAGCCCAGAAGACCTTGTTTCAACAGGGCCAGCATCAGGGGTCTGAGCTGCCTACAAAGGACCAGAGCCCGTGCAGGAGGGACACTACGGGCCGACCATCCCGGAGGCTCCTGGGACTCAGAGAGGCCCCGGCGCCCGCCCTCTGCCCAGACTCCCGGTGACGTCTCCGCTGCGTGAGCGGCCAGTGTGCAGACAGCTGGGCCCAATGGCTATGCCGGCCACACTTACTGCCCCATCTGCAGAGGGAATGCCCCACCCCTGAGCTCAGCAGTAGCCTTCGGGGGGCACAGGTGTCTGGTGGGGATGCTCCCCACAGTCCTTTGTGCTGGGCCACCTTGGCTGATCGGGCTGATCGCAGTGCTGACTTCCACCGTGTGAGAAAGCAGACAGGGATGGAGCCGGGGGAGGGAGCGGGGGGACATACGCTGCCCCACAGGGGCCTCCGTCTGCCCGGGGGACTCACGGGAGCTGCACCCCCACCTCTGTTCCAGCCCACGCCCGCACTTGCTTTCACTCTCGAGAACTAGCTTTGAGACATTTCACAAAAGCTCCTCGTTATTGGGGATTTGAAGCTGAGGTCCCCATTAGTTGATTAATCACTGAGTTAATCAGGCAATTAGGTGACAGCTGCTGTGAAGGCCTGTGGGGCCGGGCGCTGCCCCGAACACGTCACCTGCTGCGAGACGCACCTCCATCCCAGTACGGAGGACCTGGCATCGCGGGGGAGGGGGCAGGACGGGCTGAGCCCACGCGTGCAGAGCTGGCGAGGGCCCGCTCTGGGAGGGGACAGAGGCCCCGAGACGCTGCTCCCACGGCAGCCAGGGCACAGTCAAGGACGGGCAGGAAGGGTCGCAGAGGGCCCAGCGGTCAGCGCTGGGTGGGGCGACCACTGCCAGGGGTCCGGACATGAGCAGCAAGCTGTGACAGTGAAGTCCAGACCAAATGCCAGCACATGTGGCCCGTCTTCCCCAGGACAGAGCGAAAGCCACCAGCTCCGACGGCGCACAGGACAGCCGGCTCGTGTGCCAGGCCGACGCACACTGCCAGGCACTTGGGCCTCCTGGACGCTCTGCTTGAGCCAGAAGGGACAAGCGGGACGGGTGGCCATGGAGGGTGGGGACGACAGGTGTCTGTCCCTTGTGCTCCATTCAAGTGATTCTACACGAGCCACAACATCGCGATGCTCCTGCCCCAGGACACAGCGGTGGCTTTTCTCTGTGGGTGGCTGTTCCGCCAGGACAGGGGGCTCGTCCACGTGCCGGGAGGGGAAGCAGCCCTGGCTCGCAGTCCTCGCTCACGGCACCTGCCCATCCCTGCGGCCGACAAATGCCGTCAGAGGCAGCGTGCGCAGCCGCAGCTCAGAGGCCCACACGAGCTCACAGCCGCAGGCACCAGCGGCGGCCCTCACGCGGCCCAGGGGCTGCTTGCCGTCGGTCCCCGTTCTCCAAGCTTTGATGCTCGGGGGCTAGAAGGGCTCTGAAGACATTGTCTCCAGGACTGAGATGTCGATGACTGGTCCCTGGTTTCTGCACAAAACCTGTCAGAGCCTTGCGGCTGCCGAGCAAACAGGCAGCCCGCACGGCCAGTGAAGGTGGGCAACGTCCAGACGCTCACAGCAGCCTCACCGACACGGGCCGGCCCCTCGCGACCCGAGACGGACCGCTTCGGGAGCCTTTGCTTCCGCCGTTTCAAGGTTACGAGACAGTGACGGGCCCTTCAGCTTCGCCTTCCCAGCTCCCCCCACAGCCCCCACTGTTGCCGAATCAATTAGCCGCTCTTACCAAAGCCTGGAGCTTCCTTGAGTCACGTGCTCAACTTCCTCCCCATCATCGACCCCAGGGGACATCCCGAGGACGTCCTCAGGGGGACGTTACGTGGCCCAGAGGAAGAGGCACCTCTTCCTGGAAGCCTTCTCTGCTCCACCCGGGCTCACCGCCCCGGAGCCTCCCTGCATCTCCCCGGGGAGCAGCCCTCCAGGGGACTGGCCCGGGCTCAGGGGAGGGTCCGTGGGCCCCCAGGGGCATGACCTGGCCCCTGTCCCAGCTTCGCCCTCCCGCCCCGCGCCCCAGGACCGGGCTTTGAACCGTGGAGTGTGCGATGACGTTGCTCCTGCCGCCGGCCCCCCCGCAACCCTCTCAGCCTCAGTTTCCCCACTTCGCCGGCAGAGTTCTCAGGACCGTTCCCGAGATCCAGACAGTGCTGAGCAAGTGCTACAGAGCCCGCCACGCGCCCGAGGCCCTGAGCCTCCGCCCCCACCACACCCCTTCCCCTCTGTACCCGAGCTGCAGCCCCAGAGGTTACAGGGACACGGGGACACTTTGGGGTCCTCTCATTTTCCTGGCTGGCACAAGCCTTCCACTCGACAGCTACCTGGTGCAGCATGGAACGGTCCCGGCCCGCGTTTGCTCACAGCCGAGTGAGGCTGTCACCCCGGGGCTCAAGAGCAGCTGAGGCCCTGGGATAGGGCCACCCCCAGCTGTGCATCGCCCTCGGGAACCGGACGCTCTGTGTCTCCCCACCCAGGAGTCTGGTGGCTCGGAGACTTCCTCGGATGCGGCTGTCGCCTGACCCCTCAGCATGGACAGCCCCCTGGGGCCAGGCCACCTCCCCGCTGTCCCGGCGTGTGGGCACCATAATGTGCCCAGCCCCAGAGCTGTGAGGGCTCAGGGCCCCTTCACCCCCCAAGAATGAGGCTCGGCAGCCGTCTCAGCCGTGCTTCAAGCCTCACACGAGATCCGTGAGAAGTAACTGCCCTCGCTCCTCTGGCTTCGGGCTGGAACGTGTCGTCACCATCCCTCCTGGGGAAGATGGGGGCCAGGGCCCTCTGACCGGGGCCACTCGCTGGAGCTCCGCCCGAGCACGCTGGCACCAGAGGCTGGCAGTAACTGCCCTCGCTCCTCTGGCTTCGGGCTGGAATGTGTCGTCACCATCCCCCCTAGGGAAGATGGGGGGCCAGGGCCCTCTGACCGGGGCCACTCACTGGAGCTCCGCCCGAGCACCAGAGGACCCGGGAGGGCACGGCCCACAGAGCCCCGTCCAGAGGTGCTGTGGGTGGTGCTGGGACCACCGCCATGTAGGCACCGGGCGGACCCCGGCCAGGAGGGCAACCAGTAGGCAAGGGGAGTCGCCCGTGAGAGGAGGGCCGGGCCCCCTGCCTTGACCCAGCAGCTGTCTGCCGTAGGCGGCCCTCCCTCCCTGCTCTGGACCCTGGTCCCCTGTGAGACACGGCCTGGAACCTCGAAAGTCACCGAGCTCGGCTACCACGAGACACAAAACCGGTCAGCGTCGGCGGAAGACCCGGGACGGGGGACGGCCTGCCCCGTCCCCTCTGGCCAAACTGGCCCTCAGCCTGGCCAACACAGAGTCATCTGTGAGCACCTGGCTGGGGACTGTGCTGGCCAGGTCCGGCACCTCCGTGCCCAGTCATAAGGCTGGCTGCGCCCTGGGGCCAGGACGGAGGTGGCAGGGAGCAGGGGGCCCACGGGAGGCAGGAGCTCTAGGGTGCAGGTGGCCTGTCCAGAGCCCCAGCGTGGGACGCGAGGCTGTCCGGGTCACAGGCGCATGCACGGCTCAGTCCCGGCTCAGGAGGCCTTTCTTACCTGAGGTCGGCGCCTGCAGGCTCTGGGGGCGCTGAGTGAGCGAGAGAGAGAGAGAGAGAGAGAGAGAGAGAGAGAGAGAAGGAAACACATGGAGTTGGTACTGATAGGCGAGAATCGCACAAAAACAGTAGGGCCTCCCGTGAGGGCTCAGCCTCACCTTCTCCTGGCCTGGTGCGCCCCCGGGTCTAACAGAGCAAGCTGCGTCCCCGAACCCAGAGCCTGCTCCAGGCCCCCACGGCCCCCAGCGTCCTACAGAGCGGCCGGGCACCCAGCCGGACAGGCTCCCTGGGCCCCAGGCCGGGAAGGGACCCTTTTCTCTAATTGCCGGGGGAGGTCGGCCTCCAGCAGGAAACATGACCCAGCAGACGAAGCTGGACGGAGGGGGGCGCAGAGGGGCCAAGTGGCCGTCGGTCAGAGATGGGGCCACCGGGGGCCGACCCGCCTGGACCAGACATCTGAGGGCTTGGCGCCACGCCTGGCGTGTGGCCTGTGGTGTCAGGGAGCTGAGGCCGGGGAGGGGATGGGCCGGTCCTTGCAGAGCGCCCTCCCCACCGCAGAACCAGCACGGGGGCGGTGTCCTGGGAGGCACAGGGGCTGCGCTGGCCTTTCTTTTCCGAAAGGTGGTCCCTGGCTACGTGTTGCTTTCTACGCTCTATGCAGCTATCGGCCCCTCATTTCCTCCCCACACGGGTCTGTCTGAGCCAAAGGCCCTTCGGGCACCCTGAGGCCACCAGACGCGCCATGCCCCCGGCGCCCAGGGCAGGGAGGAGCAGGCCAGGACCCGGGCATTGCTGTGGGGCTCTGTCCTCCCATGGGAGCTGCTGGGGGACTGGAGTTTACAGCTTCGGCATCTGGGACTCGAGGCCACAGCCACACTCACCTCGGAGGGCCTTGGACCGCGTCCGAGCTCGTTTGTCCTCGGTTTCTAAGCTCATCTGCAAAGAATACAATCGTGGCATTAACACGCTGAGGGCCGCACCAGCTCCCAGCCATTTCCTGGCTCAAGCTTTGCTGGTGCAGGTCAGGCCGTGACAATGGGCTGTCAGGCCGGGACAGGCCTGGAACCGGAGGTGGCAAGCAAGGGGCAGAGGCTCCAGAGCAGAGAGCCCCAGCTCCTGGGGACCCTGTGCCCTGCCCCCCACGGCCCACCACCCTGCAGGGCCCAGCGTCCCGTGGGAGCTACGTGCTTCCACTGTCCCATGAGAAACAGGCGGGGACCAAACGGGCCTCAGGGAAGCTCCCAGAGAGGGGACAGCCTGGCGTCCGCCACATGCTTCGCAGCAGCCCCCGCAGAGGTGGCCTGGGCACAGGGCTGATCCTAATGTTAGACGGGACAGTCTGCACTCCCAGAGGACAGAGGGCAAGTCACCCACGTCACGGACGCCCTCTAACGGCTGCATCAAAGGTGCAAAAAGAAACAACTAAAGTTAACTTTAACGCTAACATGCTGAACCCCATCTTCCCAACGCGTGGTCAGCCCCAGAATAACCAGCATAAGACGAGGTGAATGGGACTTGGTTTCGTGGTGACTCTCAGAAGCCTGGTGTGGCTCCTGGACTCACAGCACACTCTAGTGCCATGAGCCACACACCAAGTGCCCGGGGCTGGGCCGCAAGGCTCCAGGGGAGAGGTGTCTCGGTGAGAGCCAGGCTAAGGCCGGCGAGGCCATGTGGACCCATGAGCCTCCCTCCCAGGGCAATGAGGCACCTGCACAGTCTGGACCCCACCGCCCACTGATTGGTGAACCCACCCTACACTCCCTGCCCCTCGCCCACTTCCGTGGGGGACACTGCCCACACTGTCCTGCAAGGCAGTCGAGAGAGAGCCCCCAGGGGCTACAGCTCATCACACGGAACCGTCGTCCTGTTAAGTCTGGGCAGGCAGGTGACGACGAGGTGCGGGGGCGGGCGCCAGCCCTGGTGTCCGCCGTGCACCGGTCTCACCGGCTGTCCCATGGTCAGGAAGAAGATGCAGCAGTCCAGCTAAGGCCGCTAGAGGGACAGCCAGACAGCGGACAGCAGGGACAGTAGCCAGGGGAAGGGGCAGCAGGACCAGTGTGTGAGGCCCCCCGGGAAGAAGGAGGAGAGCCCCCGATTAGTAGGGGGAGTCTGCAAAGGGAACCGGCCTGCGGGCCGCACTAACGCTCAGTGATCGATTACACGGCTTGTCGAGGGAGAAGAGTCAAACCCCAGGTGACTCACGCAGCCCGTCAGGCGCAGGCCGCTGTGGGCCTCAGCCCCCTGCAGCAGAGGCGCCCCAGGGGCCCACGGCTCACGTCTAAAGTGGGGAGAGAGGCAGGCACAAGGAGCTCCTTAACGATTCTGCAGGAGCCAGCGGGGCCTTCCAGCCGGGGCACGGTAGACCCGGTGCCAACGACCAGTGCCCAGTGCAGCCGGCATGTAGCCTACGGCCTCTCCCTGTCAGCTTCCCAAGGAAACTGGCAAGCATTCTGCCACGCAAAAGTGCCTTGGCAACCTGGATTTCCTGCGGATAAACTATTCAGAGCGGGGGACGAGGGGCGCAGGGGTGCGTAATGGAGCCGCGTGTGCTGGGCACCACCCAGCTACAATCTCTCTGCATCGAACGGTCAGTAAGCGCGTGTGGCTCTGATTTTAAAAGGGAAGAAACTGAACTATGGGAACAACAGACAGGTTAGCGCTATAGCATGGGAGCGAAAATCGTCTGGGCGGCAACTCGGGGCACCGAGGCAGGACCCCGACTTCCGGGCCGTCCGGAACCTCAGGGCAGCGCCGCCCGACCCCAGAGATCAGCGAGCACTCGGCGTGGGCTCGTCATTCTTGTGCCGGACATCAGGTACTCCACGTCCCCCACCTCTGACCCCCAGCCTGTCCCCACCTACACAGGCGGTCACTGCTGGACAAAGAACCACACCCATGCGGCCCCAGACATGGCCCTGCATCCTGGCCCCCTGGGGCGTCCTGGGCTGAGGAGCGCCGGCCTTGGCACCCGGCGTCCCTGCCCACAAGGGACAGTGCAGACTTGGGGCCTTAGTTGGGATGGGGGGCTCCGAGCATCAGTGGAAACTGAGGGCTCTTCGCGAGGGCCGCCGCAGGCCGGAGGTGCTCCAGAGCTGGGCTGGGAGCACGCTTGGGCGGCCAGAGTCGCTCAGAGCCAAGGTCCTCACAGCCCTCGCTGCAATCTGAAATAAGCACGCTCACACCTGTTCCGGGGTCACGATCTGTTCTGCGGAGAGCGGGGTGCCACAGCTTCAATTGCTGATGAGTACTCATTACATAACGGTGGCTGGATGGACAAACTAACGGCGGCAGTCGAAACGCCTCTGAGGTCCTGGAGCTGGGGAAGTGGCCGGCAGCATCAGCAGGGACCACCGGGCGCCAAGCCCATAGGGCACATTCGCCCAGCCCTGGGCTGGGGGACCAGACAGGTTAGCATTTTGTTGACTTCAGAATTCGTCCCAACAGCCAGCAAAGCTGGGGACTTGGGACAGTTTTCAAATCCACAAGATCATGTGGTACAGTGTCCCTGAGGGAGAGGGCGGTGCTTCGCCCCACATGACCTAGAGGAAGAGGGGGGCATTTGCTGGTCCCCAGGGGACATGGGCAGCGCTGCCTAGAAGGAAGGAGCGGCATGGGGTGCGGACACAGGACGTGGCCAGGAACTGGCAGCCGCTCACTCTGTCGGCTCCCGCCCTGTCTCCCCCTGTGCCGGGGTGAGGAGAGACGTTAGGGCGACGCCGGCTGGTTTTCTTCTCTCGCTTGCTGACGCCAGCCACAGTGCTGTGGCTGACCCCTGTCCTCAACCCCAGGAGAAGCCCCACTGCAGGACTCGAGGGCAGCTGCCTCCCCCGCCAGGCCCCCCAGACCCTGCACAGCCTCCCCACCCCCGACTCCCTTTATCTGAGCATGTGCCACACTCCGGCCCGGGTCACCCAAGAGCCCTCGGCACCAGCCTGCTTCCCAGTCTCTGGTCTCTGAGGCTGGGCCGCACGCTGTACCCTTGCACCCCCGGGGCCATCGTGGCACCTCGTTCCCTGTGGTGACCGTTCTGCCCCCCTTTGGGGACATCCTGCTCTCTGAAACTCTCCTGACTGGTGCCCCGGGCTGCAGAAAGGACACCCGCGGAGTGTGTCTGGGAGGGCTCTCCCCAACTAGCCCCAGGCTGAAAATTACAGCCGCATAGTGACACCCAGGAGAGCAGCCCTGTCGAGCGCCCCTGCTCAAAGCTCCAGCACAAACGGAATTCCACCTGCCCAAGGCAGAGGTCCAGTGACACCCACAAGGTGAATGGGAAGGTCACACCCGGCAGCACCTGCCTCCCTCATCGGGTGCACCCTGTCCAGGAGCGGGGAGAAGGGAGGCCTTGCACCGTCCATGCGGCCACCGCCCCCCACTGCTCACCTCCAGAGTGCGAGATGGGCCACACAGCTCACGCTTCAAGGTCAAGAAGAGGTCTAAGGGCCTCCCATCAACGCCCACAGCTCTTCTCCTTAAGGTTAAACACACTCACACGCCTGCCCAGACGCACGCAGGTGCACACACGTGCACACACCCCCCACTCGGCAGCCCCAGACACACATACACACACGCACACGCCTGCCCAGCACCCCCAGACCACAACCGGGGGATCCCGTGCTGGGCCCTCCTGACCCCTCTGAGCTGTCCGCCTCTCTGGTGCTGAACTTGGAGGCGGCTGCCAACCGTGCACAGAGGACTGTGGGGGCTGCCACCGCCCCCTCCACCTGCTGTGAGAGGCCAGTCCTGCCGCCGAGGTGACACTCTGCTCTCAGTGGCTGCGCCTCCTCGGTGAGAAGCTGCCGCCTGCCCCAGCCACAGCGTGCCCCTCTCGGGCCGTCCCCCTGAGCCTCTCTGCCCAGAGCAGGGACCCAGGCCCGGCTGTCTGCCCAGGCTGCAGGGACAGGGGGCCTGTCGAACCGCTGGTGAGTGTGGCCACAGACTCAGCCACACCGGTGCCACGCCTGCCGAGCTCGTCACCCAGAGCCACGGAGACAGCCCCGCCCACCCCGACACAGCGCCGGCAACTGCCAGTGGCCCAGTCCCTCAGCGCCGCGCCCCGGGGCCCGTTTCAGCGCCCTTCGCGGGGAGCTGCGTTTTTCGCAGCCGGCACGTTTGTGGGACCCGCCTCAAGCGCCTGTCATGCCGTTTTCCTGCGGCATCTGCAACACGTGGTGGCAATTTTTGTGGTATTTCAAGCTTTTCATCACCATTGTATTTGTTAAGCTGATCTGGATCCGCTTTCTTCGAGGTTATGACTACGACTGTTTCAGGCACATGAACCAGGCCATGTCAGACGGAGAACCTCACTGATAAATGTTGCGTGTGTCCTGACTATGAAAAAAATGCACACGATTCATGTCATTGCAACCGTCACTCCGCTGTGGCGGCCTCCGAGCCAGCCCACAGCACCTCTGCCTGGGACGCTGCACGCACGCGACCTCCGCTTAACTGCTCACGCCGAGGATGGGCTGAGGCGAGCCCCGCATTCGCCCAGGTGCAAACTTACAGCAATCAAGATTGAATAAGAGTTTAGTGCAACATTTTAAAACATTAAAATTTATGCAAAAGATCCAAGATGAACAAAATGCCAAAAATTTAAATAAAGACGGGATTGGCGTTACTGAGCTTCCCCCTTTGCCCCGGGCTCCAGCAGGGCTGGGCAGGGTGCTCACAGTCCCACGGGAATGAGAGCGTGAACGGAGGTGCCTGACGAGGTGCTTCAACAGACCCACGAGGATGAACATCCTAGTCACCAGGCTCAAGAGAAACGCGTTGGGCTTCGAGAGCAAAACACAAGTGCCACCTGAAAACCTGTCGTCCCCGCCGTCCACATCCCGGCGGCCACGCCCTGGGTCACGGCTTGGCTCCTCGACAGCATCTACATATCAGGAACATGAAATCCGACCCGGGATCTGGGAAGGCGTGCCCGCGGAGCCCAC